CAATCAACCGTGCTTTCAGTGGTAGTCGCAACGAGATTGAAGAGAACGACCTCCGCGCATACTTGGCAAGCGATAGCGAAGATGACGACGTAGAGGAAGAAGAGGTTGTTGAAGAAAAGGGAGAGGACGAGCCCAAGCTTTCCAAGAAGGAGTTGGCGCGTCGGAAAATGCGCGCCGCCTTGGGTCTATCTGAGGAACCCACCAAGTCTTCCAAGAACGCCCCCGTAGGCGACATGGAGATTACTTTCACCCCTGCTCTGTCAGAGAGCGCACCCAAGAAGACAGCTGAAGAGGAGACAACAATTGAGAAGTACATCCGAAAGGAAAAGGAGCGCAAGGAGAAGAAGCGCGAAGCTGCACGAGCTCGACGTGCTGGCCAGGACCCTGATGCCGAAGAGGAGGAAGAGGAGGTCGTCGAGGCTCCCGCAGGCGAGACAGAAGACCTTGGATTGGACGATCCCTTCTTCACTGCCGCCGAAGACCCCGCAGCATCATCCAAGACCTCCATCCGCAAAGCCGACCGTCTCAAGAAGCGAGAAGCCCGCGAAGCCGCTGAGGCCGAAAGCAAAGCCCAGAAGAAACAACTCGAGAAGGTCATGGCCGACGTGGACGCAGAACAAGTTGATCACCTGGACCACTTCGACATGAACGAGATCGTGCGCGCCGAGAAAGCCAAGAAGAAGAAGGGCAAGGCCAAGAAGAAGGCCCTCGCGAAAGAGTCTCGCGGCGGTCTGCAGGAGGACTTTAGCATGGATGTTGACGATGATCGTTTCAAGGCTGTGTTTGAGAGTCACGAGTATGCTATTGATCCTTCGAATCCCAGGTTCAAGGCTACGGAGGGTATGCAGAAGTTGCTGGAGGAGGGTAGGAAGAAGAGAAGAAATGCGGAGGGAGGAGATGAGGAGCCTAGAAGTAAGAGGGCTAAGAAGGGACGGAGGTAATGTAATTGATTCTGTATATCTGGTCAGATTGGAGTTGGGTTAAAAAGTGGTATTTGATAGCATAAATCATGAAGCACATACTGTTCAGTTCCTCTCCTCTATTGACGCTCAAACATGATCCTCGATACATAATATTTCAACATTTCTCATCACGGTTCTGTAGATCCCATTATCAAGCCACTATGCATCCAATGGCTTCTGCCCACTCCAAAAATGCATCTTCCCATAAGCATGAACATTCGGATCCCTCATGGACTGTCTACACTCTGCAAAAAAAACCTCCATCTCATCCTTACCCCAGCCCAGCTGCGGAAAATGCAAGTTCCCAATCGCCGGGAAGAACTCCTCACACGCAGTTCGATAATACATGCCCACCAATCTCATGACCCTGACACTATTAGCAACAGTCCGTCCTCTGAGTAGGTGATGTGACTTACTTGTCTTTTGGCCATGTCCCATAGGGTAATTTAATGTAATTGTGTTTAATATTAACAAATCCTGCTTCGGCGAGATATTGACCTCCGAATACAGCGGCGTGTGCGTTTGTTTCGTAGAGGGCGAATGCTTGGAGGATGATCTCTGTGAAGCGTTTTAGGGGCCAATCGTTGGGAATGCTATTGTCGTCTGTGTGGACTTGACCATCTACATCTTGGAGTTCTACCCAGGCACCGGGCTTCATGTTTCTGGTATTATTAGAGGGATGTTGGGCTTAGAAGGGGTGGACTTACGCATAAACTTGCTTGAGGAGGGTGACAGGCGATTTGAGGATTGGGATCATGTTACGGAGATGAACAAAGTCAAAGTCATCGCCGTTGAGCCATTCGTCTTCGATATCGTCCACATAGAATCTGTCCAGTTAGACTTGAGAATAGGCGTATATTTGAGTATGACTTACTTGACGTTTGGAGGCACCCATGTCGGTTGTATTGGACTTAGATCCAACCCCAATACTTCAGCACTTGGATATTTCTCACCAACTAACAGTATCAGCATCATCTCTCTCACTCAATCTTTTCACATACTCTCAATAGCCCATATCCCCGTACCAGTCCCCAGATCCGCTATCCTCTGCGGATTCTCACCAACCGGCGCATAAAACAACCGTCCATCTGTAGCCTCCAACATCATCGCATGAAGCATATCTTCACGGTTCTGCTCTGCCTCATCGTTCGGCAAGGGATATCGGCCATGGCGATAGCGATGGTATCGACGACCGTTTTGGTAGCTGTGTTCGAGAATACTGGAGCTTATGGATGTTGAGGAGGAGCGAAGACTTGAAGAGTCGTCAGGATCAAAGTCGCTGGCGGAGAATTCACCGTCTTCGTCGCTGCCGCCGGCTTCGATTACTGCGTTGCCGTGTAAGAGGCCTTGGTTATCGTCGGGGGATGGGTCTGTATCTGCAGTGGTGTTAGCTGTCATACGATTGTCTTGTGCGACTCATTGCATCTGTCTTCTGACTCTTCCAATCTCAACTAAACGTCGCCTTTCTACTCAATGCTCCAAAGTAAATGTCACCCTCATACCTTGTTCATCATGCCCCGCTTGATCTGACATTTCTTGTAATGGGGGACTACCCCTCGGACTCGCCCTTTTACCTTCTGTATCGTGAGCACCCATGTCTCTGCCGGTTTTCTTCCAACTATCACAATGCGCCGCGATTCCTCGGGACAGCATCCACTATAAATACTCCCTCACTGGATGAGGGGGAGAGAACAAAAAACCACGAGAATATGCACAACTAAATAAAACATCCAATTAAAGACTTCAGAAGAATGGCCTGGTTTGCTTCTTCCTCTGCAAATGTGATAGGTTCTAAAAAAGACAAGAGAAAAGAGGGAAGAAGACCCTTGATCATGATAAATTGCGTAACATGTCAACTTACACTGACGAAACAGGATAGGTCTCCCGTGAGTAGCTCATCTTTTGACTTGCCCGTTTACGCAGAAGCTGTAAAAGCATCCTTTGGAATTGTCTCTTTGGCGATTCTGACGTCCTCGGCGCTGCAAGGCTAGTGCCTGATCTGGACCCCTTGGCGTTGAGAACATGCCAGTCGACACGGCACGAGCGAGGTACTTTTCACGCTTAGATTCGACTTCGGGGTTTGAGTTGATGTCCGAGATTTTCGGACTCGAGTAATTTATGGAGATGGGTGAAATACTGGCGTGAGGGTTTGAAGCGAGGTGAGGAAATAGAGTTGGCGAGATCGGGGGTAGATCTGACGGGGAGAAGCGAGTGCTAGGGTATGAGTGCAGGTAGTTACAGTTCAGAGTCGAGAGTATCTTGAATCCGGATAGCATGGATTTGATGGGGCAGGTCACTGCATTGGGTATTCACGTTGGTGTTTTGTTGTCATTTGCTGATATGTCACTACGATTGGTTATAGTGCATGCGGTTGGCGATATTGCAGCATGGCTGAGACAGTTCAACTGTGTGCACTTCAAGTGACAGTTATTAACCATTCATTCAGTTAAGAAATGACAGGGATAACTGCATCCGAAATCCTGGGTCTGGACCAGCAAAAGGCGTAGCCGCAAGCTACCTAATTTTACGGAATTCCATTAAAGTGGTTAACCAAGCCAAGGCGTAAATAGACATCAATACCTACTAATGACTCTCTGAGTTGTTTGAATGGCGAGGTCACTTTGTCAACCTGACTCAAAACACAGACCTCCAATAAAACTCGATCTGTATCATGGCCATTTCAGAACCGCCATCTGCATCAGACTATTTATGGACAATTCGCCAGCATGACCGTATTACAATGCCAGTGTTCCCCCTCCTCATATGCACTGCACATATGCATGCGGTGCATATTGCGCGTTTACGATAAAATATCAATGCATTGTGCTGCAAGTGCGTGCGAACGAGTGAAGCTCCTTGGTTGGCCGCAGTGTAAGATAGAGATAAGAGATCTGTCCGCGTGATGGTGAAAAAGGGTGGGATATCCCGCACTATCCGGTTCTCTAGCTGCCGTTTCCGTCTGATAGTCACAACACCAAGTCAAAAGTCGCGATGCTAAGGCTTGACCGATCAAATGGACTCTTTGAATGTAGTTAGAGTGGTGGACGGACTTATGAGGCGAGGCTGTTGATCTGTTCTGCACAAGACCTAAAGCAATAAACGACAACACCATCGCAAGACTATTCAAGTTACCAGATTTCATCTTTGCAGAGGAGAAGGGACTAGAGAAGGCTGGGAAAACACCTAGCTAACCCCTGTCGCGAGTCAGATATAGCTCTGAGCTCTTCCCCGCTCTGAGGCGGGAGAGACGCGATGCATGCTAGCAACCCTCTTTGTATTAATGAGGGTGTGATCGAGGTCGCATCGAGAGAGGCTGATGTGCGACCCCTTGAAAGCGCCTGTCGAAACAGAGGAACACGGGGGAGGTTTGCAGTTTGCTCTGTAGGTAGTGGTTTGATTAGAAGCAGGTCAGAGTGGGATGATGATATCGTCTTATCTCCACCAGTTCATCACTAACATTCACTCAAATATAATTTACAGAGTCATTTACAACAGAAGAGAAGCAAATCGACGGCACATGCAATGCACCATCCATGATTCATCGCCACTGAAGGACCCCTATTGCAGAACGATCGTCCCCTCCCCAAACACAAACACCCAGCTTCATTCATCATCCTTCACTCATTCTTCTCTCACCGACTGTCGGAGCTAAAGTTCCCAAGGCTGCGTCGCATCGAGATCGTGATGGAGGGGGAGCGCATTTGGATTTGGGGGTCATCACCCTCTAAAAGGAAACGCCACTTTATCTGTGGGGAAACGCGTGAGCTTGATGGGATTTTTTTGGTGCTAGGCATGGGTGTTACAAGACCTTGGAAGATAATATCTCGTTGTGTACGGAGTATTGTGTGTCATGGTATTCATATTACTCGCAGCTCTCCTCCCGTTTCTCTTAGGTCTTCCTGCTTTCTACTTTTTCATCGTCTTTTTAATACAAGTCCGTGATAATTTCGAGCTCGTTGACCCAAATCCTCCAACGTCACCTAATATTCACTGCTGCTGTGACGAGACGGCTTGAACCAAACCAAAATAATCAAGGCAATGCCGCCACATTCGAATTCTCCTCTACTTCCCATCTCCACGCCCACAGCCATCGCATCGCCATATGAGCAACCTCCTCCTCCTCCTGCTCCCACAGCAGCGAACCATGTTCAGCGCTTCGCCATCACGACTTTCTCTCTCGCCCGCTTCGCCCGCGGTGTCTCGCTGATAGCATACCCGCGCTTCGGCCTCTGGGCCCTCGACATCGCACCCGATGGTTCAGCGTATATGCTCGCCAGTCTAATCGGCATCCGCGATATTCTCCTCTCGGGTCTTTTGTACACGAGCGATACTACAAACGCTGCGACGGACTCGGCTGCTCGTCGCGAAGTGACCCGTGCGCTTGCGACGAATCTGTTCAGCGATGCGCTCGATGCGTTTGTGCTGATATTCTACGCTGCGTGGTCTGATGATTGGGGGAATCCGATTGCGGTTATTGTCATCTCTGCTGTCATGGCGATCTTTGAGCATCTGACGCTGTGGAGCTTGAGTGAGGAGGATTGGGCTGCGCATGAGTATGGAAGTCTGGGCGATGATAAGAAGGCGAGGATGAATGCTTGGCTCCGAGAGTTGGAACGATGCGGACCTGAGGAGTATCGACCTGAACAGTCTGTTGGGCCATCTTCGCGCGCATCCTTCAGACAGTATGGAGCTATTGTTTAGATGTTGATGAGCTATGGGTCTGATGAAAAGTTACGTCTGTTGTGTCTGTTCTGCGTGGCGTTGATGGCTTGTTTGCATCTGGGGTTGTCTTCAAGATGGGTTGATCGTTTGGCGTTGGGAGGGCATGTTGCACGATGATGGATCATGGCGATGTTTTTTTGCGATGCATCTGGTTATGCAGTTTATAACTTCAATACCATTGCTTTTGAGTTTGACATTTATTGCTAGCGCTGCCCAGGGATAATGCAGTGCGAATGTGCCTGGTCTGCGTTTACATATGCTAGAGGTGATGATAGACTCATTATACCGATCTTCAATATATACGAGAACTCTCGCTGTAAACCTTGTCATGCTTATCAGGGTCACTATTCCCGGAGCCTTCAAATCCTCTGTCTAGAACTCGGCAGATCGAGAAATGGCGTTAGAATCCATAAATCTCATACGAACAATCCCATGACATAAAGTCAATTACACCTCTACAACAAATCGGAGATGTATATATCACAACCCTTGCTATGGCGTGATATATCGCATCTGAGGCACAATCAAGGGTCTGGTCTGACAAACGTGCCGCATGTGGAGCATATCGGCCGCTAAAATCCTCCGACTCAACGACAAAAGGACTTTAAATCTTTTCTTTTTCTATATTTCGCCTCCCTCACTTGTCGCATACACCGAACTTTTATGTCTTGCGCTTCTTCTACGGTTACACTTGCGCTGTTTTCCGCATTGAGTTGTTACCATGTCTGTACCTCGTGTAAAACGTGTAGCGGTCATAGGCGCCGGACCAGCGGGTGCTATTGCGGTTGATGCTCTGGCGCAAGAGAAGACATTTGATCTTATCAGGGTTTTTGAACGCCGTGAAGGACCTGGAGGTTGTTGGTGAGTTATGAGATGTCTAGTGAACTACTAAATTATATGGTGAGAGAATTGCATCTGACGGTGAAAGGATCGGTGATACAACTCAACCTCCAACAATCTCAAATCTGGCAAAGCTCGCAGATCGTACAGCAGACGAGCAACTGCCCATCCCTGAGACTTTACCAACACTTCTTCCCAAGTCTACACAACCACGCCATGAAGAATCATCTCTATACCCATATCTAGAAACCAACGTGGACACATCCACCATGGAATACACACAGGAGCCCATCCCCGAAATCCGCAGTGAGAGATCAATCGGGATGCACGGCCCCAACACACCCTTCCGGCACTGGAAAGTCATGCGTGACTACATAGCAGGCATCCTGCATCGTAGCCACTACGAAGATCTCATCTCATACAACACCACTGTGGAACACGTTGAGAAGACCGGCGATGAGTGGAAGGTTGTGTTGAGAAAGGAGGGAAAGAAGCAGGATTACTGGTGGAGCGAGACCTTTGATGCTGTGGTTGTGGCGAGTGGTCATTATTGGGTGCCGTATATCCCGGCTGTGGAGGGCTTGGAGCAGTTTGAGAAGACGAGGCCGGGGAGTGTAGTGCACAGCAAGCACTTCCGAGGGCGAGACTCTTTCCACGACAAGGTGAGTTGCGTCACCTTGAGGCTATGATTGTGCTAATTTGCGTGTAGAGAGTCGTTGTTGTGGGTGCTTCTGTATCAGCGGCTGATATCGCAGTTGATCTCGTCGACACAGCCAAATCACCCATCCACTGTGTAACCATCGGCCACACCACAAACGTCTTCTTCGGCGACGTAGCATTCGACCACCCCAAGATCCAGCAACATCCATCCATCGCCAAAGTGGTCAACCGAACAGTGCACTTCATCGACGGAACCAGCGTTGCAGATGTAGACCACATCATCTTCGGCACAGGCTACAGCTGGACCCTCCCATTCCTGCCCTCCCTCCCCGTCCGCAACAACCGCGTACCAGGTCTGTACCAACACATCGTATGGCACAAAGACCCCACGCTTCTCTTCGTGGGTGCAGTAGGCGCCGGTCTCACGTTCAAGATCTTCGAGTGGCAGGCCGTCTACGCAGCTCGTATCCTCGCAGGCAGAGCAACTGTACCTTCGCAGGAGGAGATGCAGAAGTGGGAGGATGAGAGGATACAGACACACGGCGATGGACCAAAGTTCTCTGTTGTGTTTCCAGACTTTGAGGATTACTTTGAGGCGGTGAGGGAGTTGGCTGGTGAAGGTGAGCCAGGGGTGGGACGCAAGTTGCCCAAGTTCAGGAGAGAGTGGTTCAGAAATTTCATAGAGGGTACGGAGTTGAGGAAAGGTTTGTGGAGGAGGTGGAATGCGAAGGCCAAGGCGGATTTGGAGAAGGATGATGTGAAGGCAAGGTTGTGATAGACTTGTTGAGTTTTAGGCCAGACTTTGTGTTTTTTAGACCTAGAAGTAGAGATAGAGCAAGCAGTATAGAAATCGTACCAGTCAAAAAGCCATAAAATTGACTATCTATACCGAATTATCAAGTTGGAAGATTGCGTACTGGCGAGTTCAAGGTGCTGCAGAGGTTTCATGCCTTATTGTGTATTTCCAGGGGTAAACGGCTTAGTTTTAATAAATTGACGTCGTTATCCGTAAACCTTACCCCATCCCCGGATTTTCAGTGTGGAGCTCTCAGGGGATGTCATGAACTTGACATGCCGGCAATGAATTTCCACTCAGTAATAACTTGCCACGATCGAGCCTCTCGAAACCTGGAGGATAGAGTTACACGAAACAGAAGACGAGGCGTTCATTAGTGAGCATGTGGTTTGGGTGTGCACCCCGCATCTTGCCGGAGATGGATAGTGTGCCATGACTTCTGGAAGCTTTCTGACATGAGTTTTAAGGATGCGAAAGTTTTGGTTTTGAGATGATAAGAAACACTGAGACGTTTCATATTATTGTTGTTATGGTATCTAAAGTTTGAATGTTGAATTCTTATCGTAGCTGGGTATGATAAGCGAGTGCCGAGATGCGAGTCGGTGGAGTATCGGGATCGATGCTTAACTCCACCAAATGTCCACTTGAGCTCTAGAATGTGAGCCAGGATATGGACGTATAGTTTCTGTTTCCACGTATAACAGCATCTTACAATACATTTACCTCAATATAATACAAACTGTACATTAGACAGAATGTTCAGAATATCGCTCAGACGTATATGTCTCATCTCGGCTTCCAGAGCCTATCTCTCGACAGAAACCAATAGCTTCACCTCTTATCAGCGTTACGTCGTCACAGTGAACCCAAGAATTAGCGTCTATTAGTGGCTGATAGTGATGCACTTCCCCGCGTTTTTTTATCTCGTCCAATGGTCCAGGGCCTGGAGATACGTTGCCACGCCCGGGCCCCCCATGTCCCGTTCTCGAATCCCCATTAAGGACCAGCACCTCCATGTTCTTGCAAGGACGATCTTCTCTCCTTTTCCATTTCATAGCTCCAGTCTCTACGCTTTTAACCAAAGTGAGAAACATGCAAAATGCAGACGAAGACATCAACAAAGCCAAATTGCAGAAGAGCGTCAAAGACAAAGAATGGTCCTAATCCACGGTCTCGCTCGGGTTGTGTTACGTGCAAGGCTAAGCATGTAGGTTCACTCTGCTTGTTGTGATATTGCATACTGACTGTCCAGACAAAATGCGATGAGACAAGACCTGAGTGTCTGAGATGTATTCGAAAAGGTGTCAAATGCGGTGGTTACTGGAAAGAGTTTAAATGGTCGTTCAAGCATCAACCAGGCGAGGTAAACTTCGAGTTCGCGGCCCCAACTTCACCAACGTCTTCGCGAAGAAATTCGACTATACAGCCCGAACCGTCATTCGTAGCGACACCTTCGGCGGTATTCGACATTCCACTAGAGACACCTGCTCCAGCGCTGGCTGAGGAGTTGCCTATTGAGGATAACAATTCAATTCTTGGTGAAGCGAGCTGGACGACGAGTTCTTGTACCGAGTCGGATAACGATATCTTTGCGCGGTCGAATTCCATCGTGGAAGAGAATATAAGCGATATGACGGTTCAGAATGTCGAAATGACTTCTCAGGCTCTTACACCGACGAATGAATCTCAATATTTCGAAGGAACGCCGCTCACTGTTGGTCTTATAACCGACACTTCATCCCTGCTCATCAGCAACTGGTTCGAGCAAGTCTGCACGTTATGGTCTGGTTTCGACTCAGACTTCAACCTCAATCGGAAACTCGCCCTCGAGCTATGCACGAGTTCTCAATCTGTGTTTAGTTCACTACAGAGTATGTCTGCTGGATTCTTATCTACGCGATTACCGCACATGAAGCAATCGGCTATGTATTTCCTGCAAGCAGCTACTGGATCAGTGCTTTCAGAAGCAGAAGAGATCATTCAGAACCCAGCTGCGGATAATATGCCCGCTGGCGCATTATTCTCGCTGTTTTGTCTTGGAACGACGGTGTGTTGGGTCGATGCGAGACAATTAGGCCTGCCATTCTTCCGATCAGCTCGCAAGATCTTGAACCGCCTTAACCGACGTATCTCATCACTCTCAGCAAAAGACCTGGAACTCTTATCATATTTCAACAGAAGTCTTACATACTGCGAAATGCTCCTTGCCGCAGTTCACCAAGACGATGCTGCTCTCGACACCGACGATCCAGTCACGGGCCCTCAAACCGACTCCTCAATGCAACTAGCCGAGCGATACATGGACAACTCACCACACCCGTGGACTGGCATTTCCCCGCTCGCTTCTCAGCTCTTTGCGCAAGCGATAAGGCTCTGCCGAAGCTTCCGACGAAATCTCAAACTGCCCAAAGAAACAGGGCGGGATTTCCAGCGGGCCTTGGAGGAGATCCAAGAGGCGCAGCGGTTGGAGGAGAAGCTTCTGGGGCTTGAGTTCCAGAATACCCTTTGCGTTGCTAACACAGGAGATTATCGCACGCCGTCGCTCCATCTTGCGCAGGTCGCTGAAGCTTATAAACTTGCTGCGTTGCTGCAGCTGTATCAGACTTTCCCGGATCTGGTGGCTTTGCGATTACCGACTGATTCTGTTCATGCGAATAGTCGACATATTCCTTGGGAGGAGTGG